AAGACGCTCAGGCACGCTCGACCAAGGCAAGAACGTCGTCAGGCATTCGCGCCGCAAGTCTCGTGGTCTCATGCCTCCGAGCCTATCCAACATGCGCAGTTCCAGCACACCCATCTCCTTTACTACCAAGAGCAGCCCCGCCAGCGCCGTCATCTCGGCTGTCAGCCCCACAAATTCCTTTACAAATGATAGTTTCTCCCTCTCGCCCGCTATGCAGACGGAGCCTCAAGCCGCAATCCCCGAGGAGTGCGAGGAGGCTTCTTTGTCAACGGCCGAACCATCTATCGCCAATTCTGCCGAGTTTGAGCCTGACGAGCTTGTGTCGCCCATTTCCGCCATGCGTCCTTCGCTACACCGCCACGCCTCGCACTCATCTCTCATTTCGATATCCGGCATGGATATCCATACGCTACAGTCACGACCCTCGCAACTCATGTACTCATCTCCACGCTTTGCAGATGTCGGCCTTGCTGGATCTGTCGGACCAGAAGTTGCGTGGGGCGCCACTGCGTACGGCACATTGTCGAGCAAGGCAACTGATGGCAGCATGCTCAGCCACACCATGCTCAGCATTGCGAACCAGAAGCGAGGCCCCCGCAAGAGCGATGGCCACCAACCCAACACCAGCCCTGGCATCACGCAGAAAGTAGGCGGCTGGGTCTTTGGCAAGTGGGGCGCTACTCCCGCTCCTCCCTCCGAGTCTGCTACTCGTCCCCCATCCGTCTTGAGCCAGCAAACGCAATCGAGCGCCGACACGGGTTCCTCCAAGGAAGGCTCCGAGAGCTCCAAGAAGACCAAAGACAAGGCCAAGGCGAGGGCCAGCGGCGTCAACCAAAGCGGTCCCATCTGGGGTGTCTTCGGCGACGCACCCGAAACTCCCACAAAAGTCGTAGTACAAGACTATGACGCCGACGCCCTCGGCGATGCGCTTGCTGATGCAGAGAAATAATTTCGTTTTTTCTCTCATTTTTTTCCTTTTGTTTGCTCAACGATCACAATCGTTTCATGACTCGACATTTTTAGCCACATCATCGTCCTTTTTTTCTTTGCATCTTGGCTCACGCAACGCATCACGATAGACTTGCATTATAACCGGCGTTTTTCTTTTCTTTTCTTTTCCAGGGATACATTGTCCTACCGTCTCTCGTTCATGTCGGGATGATATGGGTATGGCGTGATGATTATATGAGAGAAAAATTATCAGATAACGTGGAGGCAGGGGGAGGGAGGGAGAGAAATTGATTGATTGATACCCAGGGTATATACAATATATACATACAAGTTGCATATATATGTCTACATGGTCATATGCTTGGATGTGCAGGCCATGATTGACGTGTTTCTGGTGGTGCTTGACATGTTCCTTGCGATGCCCTTGCCATGGAGATAACATACGATTCAAGGATACGTCACAAAGCTTTCTACAAACATGACAAGATTCTTTTAAATCTATATATTTCATTACCACTACTTTCTGCCTACTGATTCCCCATTTTTAGTTACATGATATTCTCGCCAAGTGTAGCTTCAAATAGAAGCACGTGGCAGCGATACCGTGCACATACCCGCTAGCTAATCATACAAACACTCAGTCGTCTCCTCCGCATCGGATATTTCTTTTTTCCTTGAAACCACGTGCGTGCGTGATCAGAGAAGCTGGGGAAGATGCTATGTCGAATCTGCTTTCACAACAGGGATTACCTTGCTTCTGGATTCCATCGTGATGCTGGTAGAGTATGGCAATACCCGGCTTGAAAATACTTTTGTTCAGTCAATAACGACCATGACTTTTGTCTTTTTGACCGAAGGCACCTGACGGTTGATGACCTGTGTGTGCTGGCGGATCTCGTCTTCGAAATCATCTTCCAGGTCAACAACCCGACCTCGTTTCTTGCCGTCATGTTTGTTGTGGCCAGATTCTCTTGGCTTGGCCGCCCAGACTGGCAATGTAGGTGCCATGAAACGCTGTAATCGACCACCGAACGCATTATCAAGACTGGGCTCCACATCCTCGCTCTCATCCTCGTTCGCATTCGCTGCATCCAGAATACGGTATTGCTTACGGAGCGCCTTGACATCGTGTTCCTGGTTGAACCTAGAAACATCCAGCCCGTTGATAGTGCGCAGACCCAATGCCTCGGCCCGATCATCACCCCAGTACCAGGTAGCATCGGCAGTTTGTGAGATGCGTTCGTTATCTTTTCGCGAAAATGCACGCGCATCAATCAAAGCCCGTCGACCAAGGTCGAGGCTAAGTGTTACAATATCGTCAGAATCGTATCCGAGAAGTTGTGCCATGGCATTGCGCTCGTGCAAGCGGCCGGCGACACGAGCGTAGGGGATGGCGAGCTCCTTGTCCGGCGGATGAAGAGGATAGAAATCTCCATAGTCTTGGGCTGCTCTAGGGATCGGAGCATCAGAAACCCATCGTTTGTCTGACCTAGAAGCATCGCTCGTGTAGGCGCAACCATATAACCAGATTGCCGAGTTGAAGGGCCGTCCTTCATCGTAGTCGTTGGTCGAGGCCTTGTCCAAATTCGACCATTTTAGCCTGATAGACTTGATGCTCATGATGTCGGTGCACACAGCCTGATCGGACTTGGTTGGAAGAAGACGGACGGTGTCACCAACAGCCAGTATTTCTGAGCCGACAAAGATGCCATGGCAGTATATCGTCGCCTCTGGCCATGTTCCTCGAAAGCGATGCTTTCCCACAAGTGAGAGGGTTGAGGTCAAAGCTAGAGCATTCTTGATGCTTGGGTGCCAAAGGTCTTGATCTACATGATTGAGAAGCTCTTTCCAAAGAAAGAAAGGACGGCTTTGGCGCAATGAGATGTACTTGTACCGCTTCGAAAGCGATTTATCAGGGTTGTTTGGGTGGGGAATGAGTTCTACTCTCATGTCCGAGCACGACCCGTTGGAATTCTTGGTTGAGTCTAAGAGGTCAGTGGTCGGCGTTTGGGCCACCTCTGTTACTAGACCAGCCTCCCAGCGTGGGACGTCAAGAAACTCATCCGTCTGCTCATCATACAAGCACAACTCGTTGGTAATGTCATGTCTTGTGACAGCGACTCCATCAGCCAGATGGCGGATGAACATGATAATATCTCCATTACGAGGAATCCATTGGTCTTGTGATCTGAGGGTTTGCAGTAGCTTCGGGATGCTCTCCTGTTCCGCTCGCCAATCAGGACTCAAAGGCTCTTGGATGGGCTGATCAATGCATTTGTGGCTTCGGAGCTTTTCAACTAGGTTCCGATAGATGTCGGGCGTACCATTCTGATCTGTTCTGGTCATATCGAGGCCAGGGCTTAGCTTTTTGGGCCTTCCTTGAGCTGCAGGTTGCGAGATTATAACCAGGGGTGGGACCGGAGTTGCCTGGACGCGGTGGGCGCTGTTGGGTCGACTCGAAAAAGATGCAGAAGCTGAAACATTGGATGAGCTAGCAGAACTTCTGGGGCGGGAGCTGTTGGACATAGCGCGGGGAGGGCCGCGACAAACAGTACAGGGACATCCTATGCTGTTGCCGCCATTGTTCATGAGATATCCGAAGTGGGGAAAGAACCGGTTTGGAGAATCAAATTTCTTGTGGCTGGGGTGTCCAAACAGATACTTGTCGAAGCATTTGGGATCTGAGGGCCGTGGCCTCTGCCACATGGTATAGCCTGTGGGGAGAGCTTCGAGAATGTAATGCACTCCCGACTGGGCGCTTCCACACTGCTCCATCCATAATTGACCGATTTTCTCAAGGTATAATGTGGGAGGGTTAATTTGGGTGTGCGTGCCTGGGGCTGGAACGTGCAGCGGATCGCCGTCGGAACAACCAGGCTGGAGTCGTACGACGACTCGGCCAGGAGTCATGATTGTGGCAGTCTCAAGTTGATGGACAGGATTCACAGTACTTTGTAGCTGTCGGGGGGGCTGACTTCTGGCTGTGAGGTGAGAAATTGCGGGGGTGGAAAAGTTTAGCGGGGTGTTGGTGAAGTCAGCAGGATGTGAAGGCAGGAAGGTGCGTCAAATGCAAACGTTATGAGCAGCTAGCAAGTACGTCTACGAGAGTCAGCAAAAGGGCACAGAGACACAGCACGCGGCGTGAGTGAGCAGCAATGAATGGCGTCTTCAAAGCGTGTACTAGATATCACTGACAGTGGCCCGTTATGGTGGCAACATGCAAAAGACGCGTGGTGTTGGTGAGGGTGAAGGTCAGAGTTGCATGTCTTGGCAGCCCCACCGGCAGGCGTGTTCCTTGCTCACATGCAGGAACGCGAGATTTAGCGAGTCGTGCTACTCACTGACTTACTCTCTCTGCTCCGCTCCCCCTTTTTGGCTCAGTCACTGCCGAACCACAACAACAAACATTCTAGCCGCCGACCGAGCACACTCAGTATGTGATATCCACGAGCAGCTGCGTGTTCCGCTGTGACAGCTGCGCGTCTGGGCCGCGGAAGGCTGGGTGGCTGTTGGTCCTCACGTTCAGGCCGACCGCTGTCACTAACCCTCAATATACTTAGAGTTACCTGTGATGCGCAACCACCCGTTCCCGAGACAGAGCCGTGCAGTTCCACTAGAGTCCATCCCCCGTCATTGAACACGCCATGACCTGAGGCTCTAACCACACATGGCCGCCGTCGATACTGCAACGGTCCTTAGTGCGTGATGGAGTGCAGGGCTCATCTGTTTCGAGTCCTTTCGCGGTCAAGTCCACTATTGTTAGCCCGGTTAAGCTTTCGACGGAATCCACCTTCTAGCCGAGACAACGCCCTTCTCCCATGCCCAAGCATCTCCTGGCTCACTTCTACCCACCTCTCTTCACCCGCCTTGCTTGCCATCCGCAAACCTATGCCCCCGGTGTATAGAGCGATACATAGTGGCAAGGAAGTCCAAGGGGCAGCCATCGCTCTAACCAGCCGGTCCGCCCGTTAATCTCACCTCGACCAAAAGCCCGGCCTTCGGATCCCTCGCCATAACCTTCCTACACACGTATCCGCCATTCCGATGCGATGAATTTCTTCCGCTCCAGTCGCGCAAACTCACACTTCCCCATTGACGATGGCCGGCCAGCAAAGCGCATCTCAACTCCCGCTGGCCAGCGACTCTCCGTCATCCTCGACAACAAGCTCACAAAGTCACCCGCCAACACAGCCAAAATCAATGTCACCACCGAGAGCACATTTTGCAACGACCCATCGCATCAGCACGTAGGCCCCGTGCTGCATGTTCACAAGAATGAGAGGAAGAAGGGGGGTGTCTTTTCCGCCTTGACTGGCGGCAGATTAAGCACGCCCAATGAGGATCGATCCAACAATGGGAGCAACCTCAGTGTTAGTGTTTGGAGCGACAGGGAGGATGAGAAGTTTGGTCATGTAAGACAGAGACGGAGGGGCATATTTGCCTGGGGACGGAAGAAGCTGGCTTTGGTCGTTGCTATCTTGATAGTGCTGATCGTGGCTTTGGCCGTTGGCTTATCAGTGGGCTTGAAGAAGCACTCTGGGTCAGTCACCCGTAGTTCACCATTAAAAAGCAACACGCACTAACGCATGACACAGTAGCCCACCCCAAGATACAGCAAACGGTTCTCAATCGGCAGGCAGCGCATCCGGTACCAACAATCACAACCAAGACAACGGCGCCGATTCCCCGACCGGAACCGACAAACCTCCTGCCCCATCTCCTGCAGCCCCACGACCCTCTGTTCCTCCCAACTTTCCTGTCGGCGCTTACTCGCTTGCGGTCTTCCTCGATACTGTCACACCAGAGTGCACCGCTAACCAAAACACCTGGACATGCGCCCCAAATACAGACTACTATGCGGATCCGCAGAAGGCTCTTACCGTTCTCAATTGGGAAATCGCCGGTTCTTCGGGATCGTACAAAATCTCATCCAAAGGGCATGATGATACATTTGATACGACCTTCCAGAATGAGAACCTTGAGCTGTTGGATCCAGGACAAGAGACGGAGCGCTACCGGTTCCAGATTTCTCGCTCAAAAACCGTAAACATGACCGGTACTCTTGGCGGCAGCAAGGGTGATTTCGAGTGTGATTACAGCGCAACAAACATACAGGCATTCCTATACACCAAGATGCTCCGCACTTATCCTGATGACACAATCGCTGTCAAGAACACCCCGAACATCCAGTGGCCATTTGGTAAGCGTGATTCATTGTCTGGCTTCTATTTTCACATGCTAACCCCGTATTTAGCTGTGCGCATCGAGCAAGCTGTGGCTGGTGGTGAGGGTGTGCCATCCTGCAAGAGTTCATCAGGTGACAGTGTTGGCCTCAAGGCCCAGGATGCGGGCACGCTATGCTCATGTCTCTACAAGAACTGGACGCCTCAAAAGTAGTCAAAAAGCAATTGCAATTTCTTTGCTCATTATCATCATCATCTAGCGTTTCCTTTGTGTAATGTATATACTCTTAACATAGCATAGCGTAGCAAGCACTTTCCTTCTAAGGGGCGATGGGGGCGCACAAATATCGGGGTCACCAGGTATAGAACGCGTTGTTTTACAGTACAGGTTGATCATCATTTTTTTCTTCTTTACGAGGTAAAGCAGGCGTCTCCTACATGTTGTTTTTCCTATTTCAAAAAAACATATCTCGGTAGTTGAATTCTCTTTGTACGGATAGCACTTGGCGGGGGCGGCATCCTAAATTCCTTTGTTATTCTCCGCAGGACAAGCACAACGCCCATTCCGGCGCAGATTTCAATGGCCTGCCGCATGCGGCCAAACACCGACAGATAAAGCAATCATACAGCACATACACAAGAGCAACAAAATAAAGCGTACGCGCTTTGCCAAAAGAATCGTGCGCATTTTCCGCTCAACTGACATATATCGCTAATCATTTCTACTCTCCCGCGGCCTTCAACCCAATGAGCAGTTTTCTCAACAACATCTGGCCATTTAGCTCGCCAGCCCAACAATCACAAAACACAGCGCACAAGCACAAGGGCATGAGCGACATCCTCAGTGATGATGACCGGGGATCCGGCAGCAGTACACCTTCAAGTGCAAAATACGGTGGATCCAGCACTATGACGATGACAGAGACGGTCGTAATCACTCCTCCATCTTCCGGAACTGGCAAATCACTGACTCGAAAACTTGGCTCTTCGCGTCTGGAACCGGGCACTCCTGAGTCTCGACTCAGAGCAGCAGAGTTGAGAACCAAGGCGAGGCTGTTGATGGAGCAAGCTGAGAAGGTACAGAAAGAAAAAGAACGTGCTGCTCATGAACAGCAAGCTGGTCTCCCTAAGGGTTCCGCGGAGAAGTCTAAAGAAGTGAATGATGCTACAACCACCAGTGTTCCTAAGCAAACTGCATCATCTTCTCTTCCTACCCCTCCCATCACCCAACCAACGCCGCAGACCCATCGTCCCAAAACCAACAAGACGCCCGCATCGACAACTCCACCAGACTGGTCCGCCTTTTCATCGAGCCAAAAGTGGAGCACAGATCCCAATCTCCGTGCCCGCGAACTGGGCTCTAAATCCGCCATCTACGCCGACCTCCACGAGCCCGAATACGCCATGCGCGACGCTGAGATCCGGGATGCACTTACGCACCTTGTTTCTCTGATCCAGGGCTTCAGTCGCGAGTTCTTCACTGGCGAGGTCCGTATCCCCGCGCCTGACGGCATTCTTCCAGCATCATTCTACGAGCAGATGACGCCACAGACGGCCAAGGTGGTTCACTGCGTTGCGAGTGGTGGACCAGCAGGCCAGTGGGGATGGCATGGCTTGTTTCTTAACGAGGAGAAGAGACAGGCACTTGTATGCGGAGTCATCGGCAACGTGCTTGTAGAGCAGGTATTTGAGAACGTGTGTTTCGGGTTCGGCAAGGAAGATAAGGATGCTTTTGCCGCTCTGGAGCGGGAATTGAAAGATGAGGATGGTAAGTTTTTCTCCTTTTTTCCCATTCTATTACATCGAAAAATGATAGCTAACATGCAAAAATAGGCTTCACCCGACACTCCCGTTTCTCCCAGACCCTCCACAACCTCACTCACAACGCCACCACCCTCCCCCCTACCTCCTTCACAGCACACATCCAAATCATCCTCACAGCACTAACCACGCACCTCACCCCCCTCCTCTCCCTCATCCATCCCACCCCACTCTCCACCCTCCCATCCCTCCTTCCCCCCTTACTAATCCTCACCACTCGCGCCGCCCTGCTTTCCCTACACATGCGCCTCGACCCACACACACTCTACCGCTTCACCCCCTCTTTCAAAGAAGACACCTACACCTCCACCCGCATGCAATGCACGAACTTGACGCAGATGCAACAACTATGCCCACACAACCAAACCTCCGTACTTACCCCCACCGAACAAGCCCGGCGCGCCACGCTCTCAAAAGCCGAGCTGCGCCGCAGCAAGGGCGATCAGGCACTCACTCAAATCATCGTGTTCCGCGGCGTTGTCGCGTTTCGGAAGGGGGGCTGGGAAGATGGCAACAGTACCGCGAGGAACGTGGTGTTTGAAAAGGAGGAGTTTGCCGAAGAGGGGTATAGAGAGAGGCTTCTGACGAAGGCGTGGGTGTATTGTCGGTGGGGGAGGGGTATGGCGAAGGGCATGGATGAGGAGATGGGGAGGAAAGTGCATGGGGATGCGTGGAGGGAAGGTGGGTTTGTCGAGTTTACGGGGTTGGAGGGGGTGTGGGATTGGTTGGGGGAGGAGGCGGAGGAGATGAAGAAGGGGAGGGGTGAGGATGAGGAGTAGTAGAAAGATGGTGGTGCTGCGGTGTGGGTAGATGTTGGTTTTTAGTTGGATTTCTGTATGTTGTTTAGTGATACAATGGTAGTAAGGGGGGTTTGATAGTTGAGAAATACTCTGGGGGAAAGGGGGCGAGATGATGGTGGCGATGTTGTGCTAGGTTGTAAGTAACTAAGAGGTGCGAGATATTGAAGGATGGAGTTGAGGTTATATTGTATGAAACCACGCATAGTACGTGTAACTTTGCGACTGTAGATAGCGCTATCGTATCATCCGCAGTATATACTCTTACCAAATGTAGAGTGTTCCTACATGCTATGGCAAGAAAGCCCTAAACCGTAACAAACCCGTTTAAAAAGAAAATCCAAGCCGAAGAAACGCTCCATTCTCAGCACCATTTGCGATCTGTCGTGCCATGGCACCATATTCCACAAACGTCCTCTCAGCCGAAATAGCCTTTAGAACCTGCACCTTTGTGTTCCATCCCCATAGTCTACTCTATACCACGATACTCGCTCGACTTTAGTCTGTGTTGGTCGCTGCCAATAGACAGGGACGTCTTCGGTGCTACATAACGCTGTTCGCCAATTGGCTCCGAGAAACAATGATCATATGTGGCTGTTCCGTGTCTCTTGCGTGGGTGGAAATGTGTCTGGTATGAAAAAGGACGTTGTATATCGTTTGGGTTGTGGATTGGGGCGGGTTTTGCAGAGTTCATGTTTAAGTACGGAATGCTAACAACTTACGTTAATTTATTTTAGCTAACAAGCAATTACTTTAATCCTACATTAATAATGTTGCTTATGAGAAGTTTGTTGACTCTAGTAAAACAATCGAGTAAAGTATAGAGTATGTGAAATCGGTAGGCATCCAAGTCAGGTACGCCAGGATGGAAAAGCGGGATAATAGATTTTATATGAGGAAATGAGACTGGCTTTACACCCTCTTTTACATTAGGTGTAAGTTGAAAATCGAATATATAGTTGCACAAGGTAGTTATTAGTTATATAGAAACGGGCACATCCCTCTCCTTACATACTTTATCTAATCTTGCATATATTTACTGCATACAGTTGTTTCGAGGCTATGATGATATACGTATAATTATCTTGGTGGCTGGCAAACCACTCAGGCTTAGTAAGGGTTTTGTTATGACCTCTAGGAAGGAGGATGAAGGGCGCTATGACGTTAGTAAGCAGCCCCCCGTACTGCACGACAGCGTCAATCCAATCTCTCGATACATCTGTGAACGCAACGAGTGCGTGTAGTTACTTTAATTCATGGCCTGTAAATCTTGAATAAATTTAGCAATACTAGACTTTACCCTTTTTTTCATCATTAGAGAAGCAACGCATATCTGTGTTGTGGCCGATCGTATGCCTTAATGACATGCGTGTGACTAGATGCATCAAATGAGATGCCAAGGCTTACGCTCATGAGCGGGGTAAAACTGCATTGCAGCTATGTTTGAGTTGAAGTAGCATTCGCTGATGATTGTACCTAAAGTGGCCAAGAAGGTGGCTCTTGTGACTCTCAAAGCTGTAAAGACTGCTAACACTAAGATAGCTGCAAGTAAGCACAATCACTCCCAAATAGTATGGTTAACAAAACATTATCAGCACCATTCAAGACTATCCTAGCTCAATACATTCATGCAAAGGGCGCCGTCCACAGTACTCCTGCAGCTTCTACTGCCTCAACATTGCTCAGTCTTGTGACCTTGCCTTTTAGCACCGATGGACCAGTGTCCACTTCGTGTGTGATTCTCTTTCGCTCTCGGTTAGACCTCACTGTACTTGTAGACATCGTAGCTTCTACTATGTCTTGTTCATGATCATTAGTGGTATTGGTAAAGCAAATTTCTCAAAGCAACTAATCTCAGACCACACCCATATTGACTCAAATAACAATCCAATTATACTTCAGTATTAAATCTTTAAAATTCGACTCGTACAGCCAGCGCCGTCTAAAGACTCAAGGGAAGAAACGAAACAAGGAAATAGAAGAAGAAAAAGGCTACATACTACACTCCCCCCTTCTTCTTTCATCATCCGAAGTTCCCCATCCACATGTAGCGTGGGTATCAATATATACATCCGAATCTCATACGCCCCACCGCTTAAAGAAACTAAGAAAAAAGAGCGAAAAAGAAAACCTTAATCCAGTTATATGCGCAACGCCCATCGAAAAGATTCATGCTAACAAACAAACGAAAGCAACAGAAAGAAAAAGGAGGAGAACGAGCGCTATATACTTCCACTACAACATCAACATTCCCTTCCCACAGAAACCTAAGAAAAGACCGTACGTCTACAAATTCTCCAACATATCACTCATCTTCAACCAATCACTAAACTCACTCTCACCCTTCTTCTCCCCATCCTCCATATCAACCCTACTCTCCCTCTTCAACTTCTCATTCACAAGTTGCAAATCAAGAATCGAGTCCTTTCCCGTACTCTTGCGCTGGCCAAGCCCACTATCCGCTCTCGGGGACAAAAGCCGCGTTTGAATCGCTGTTGAGGAAACAGGCATGGCGGGTCTGTCTGGCTGCGAGGGGGAGGGCGAGCGGGGGTTTGTAGAAGAAGAAGTGGCGGCGGCTGCGGCGGCGGAAGCAGAAGCGGACAAGCCTCCAGTAAAGAAATCCGGGCTTTTGAGTATGTTGGGTGTTGAGGGTGATTGCGGGATCGCGCTCATGCCGCCGGTTGAATTGCGTTGTTTGAAGGGGGCGCTGATGCGGAGGCTGAGGAGCGTGTGTTTTTGGCGGGGAGGCGAGGAGGTTGTGGTGTCAGACTCCGAGGGGAAGATGGCGGATTTGTGGCGGGTGAAGAAGAGGGAGGATTTGCGGAATATGGAGGTTGAGCGGGGTTTGCGGAGGGGAGGGGAGGGGACGGAGGAGGCGGTTACGATGGGTTGGGTTTTTTCTTGGGGGATGGGGTGGACTTGGATTTGGGGCTGGGGTTTGGCGGCTGGGGTTTCTCTGGTGATGGGGAGTTCTCTGGCGATGGGAATTTCTTTAGTGGGTTTCGAGGGGTTCTCTTGGTCCTTCTGTTGTTCTTTTTGGATGCGCTGCTTGAGTTGCTGTTCGGAGATCTGCTTGGCTTTGGCTTCGCGGGCTGCTTTTTCTTCCTCTTGCCTTGCATCGGGTTTAGGCTTCTCTGTCTTTACTTCAGTCGGCTTCACTTCAGCTGGCTTCACTGTCACCTCTGTCATTACCAGCCCCCTCCTTTCAGCACCCTTGAGCATATCTTGAATCTTGTCCTTCTCTTTCTCGTCGAGACCTTCAGGCACACAAGCCAGAGGCGTAAGACCCTTTGCATTCTTATCGCCCAGCTTTGCACCCGCACGTAGTAGAGCCGCAACAACCTTGTCACCGCCACCCCGTGCCGCGGCATGCAAGAGCGTGTTCTTCTCCGAGTCAATGACATCCAACTTGGCACCTCGAGTGAGCAGTGTAGTCACAATCTCCAGATCCCCGGCTTCAGCAGCAAAGAACAGAGGTGTGCGTCCAGCGTCATCAACACACTCCACGTTACCATTCTCCAGCAACAACTCCTCCACAACATCAGCACGACGCGCCTTAACCGCACAATGCAACGGGAAGCGGCCCCTGTAGAAACCAGAAGCAAGCGCCGGTTTCGCATCTCGAGCAAGAAGCAATCTCACAACCTCAATATCGATACCCGGGCATTCCTCCAGGACAAACGTAAGAGGATGAATTGTCAAACGAGGAGGTTCCGTGAATCCTTGCTGAGGACAGGGCCAAGACGTACGCTTTGCATGCCTATTGCTGCTCGCATTGGGATCCGCACCAGCATCCAGCACCACATTCAGAGCCTGAATAAGATACTCTGGTGCCAGTGGGGGCTGCAGCGAGATGTGCCTTAGAATAGCCCACAGCAGGGACTTTCCAAGCGGCGACTTGGGCAGGTTGTTGACGTCTAGACCCATGGAAATCATCATCTCGAGATCGTGGATTGACATCACCGTCATGAACGGCGATACCTCATTCTCTGCGCTCTTGGGCTGCTCCCGCAGGACGACCGTCCGACGGACCCATTCCTGCTGCGCAAACGACTTGTAGATTTGCTTGTTGACTTCCTCCTCCGACTGCAGCATGTGCTTGTTTGGAGTCCACTCTTCAAACTCAAACGTAGCGCCGTTCCTGAGCATTGCGTCGACGAATATCGGCTTGCCCATGGTCGCGGCGTAGTAGAGCGCATCACGTTTCTTGTGGTCTTCGTGGTCGGCAAAGTTCCAGCTCGCTTTCGCGCCCGCCTTTTGCGCCAACAGTGCTTCGATGACGGGGAGACCCTCCTCCGGAAGCGTCTTGACTGCGAGTATGAGCGGCGTGGCGCCAGATCGATCGCGAATGCTTCTGCTCACGCCGCGTTCACAGAAAGCTACGGTAGCAGCAGCGATGTTTTCCCAAGTTGCCGGGGCCTTGGGACAGTTGGCGACAACATGGTGCAGTGCACTGAAGCCGTTCTTGTCCCATGCGTTGACACTCGGTGTGGTAACGAATATCGGTACAATCAACCACTGATGGTTCTTGACGGCGAGAAGAAGCGGCGTATTCTTGTTGTTGTCAATGGCGGTAGGATCTGCACGAGCTCTCAACAGCAAGCGCACAGTCTTATCCAGACCGTTCGCAGCTGCGAGATGCAGAGGCGTTTGTCCCTGTGCGTTCGTCTTGCGGAAGTTGGAAACCTTGATGAGGGAATCCAGCACGGGCTCGTTCTCCTTCTTGCACTGTGTTGTCGCAAACAACAATGGCGTCAGTCCTCTGGCGTTGAATTGTTGGGGGTTCGCCTTGTTCTTTAGCAGCATGTCAATGCACATCTTGCTGTGCGTCGCAACATGAAGCGCAGTGTTGCCCTCGCTGTCTTGTGCATTGACCTCAACACCTGCATCGATGAGCATCTGCGCAATCTTCATGTGACTGAAGGACGGCGACACGGCGTGATGAAGTAGCGTCTTTCCATCGGGGTAGGTAACCTTGGCATCGGCACCCTCCTCGATCAAAGCCTCAGTGATGGTTTGGATGTTGTCCTTCTCTTTTGTCAACGGGCATTCGAAAGCAGCCTGGAGCACACTCATTCCCTTCTCATCGCGGACCGAAAGATCGGGGTTGCGCTTGAGGATGGCCTTGACGACTGGTGCTCCTGCACATGACAAAGCCACAAAAATCGGTTGCAATCCTCGAACAGTCTTGCGGTCTGGATCGGAGCCCTTTTCCAGGAACATCTCAACCAACAGCACGTCGTTCCTCTTGATAGCTTCCACAAGGACATTTGACTCGGGGTCACAGGCTGCAGCGAAGATGTCGGCAATGAGGTCGTTGCCGATAGAGAAGCGACCCTGTGTCTTTTGCACATGCTTCAACAGCATTTCCTTCTCTTTTGCGAGCTCGTTTCGTTTGGTGTTTGCTGTATTGATAATGGCGACGGCTCCGTTGATGTTGTTGGCTTTCAAAGCTGCTTCAGCTGGTGTCTGGGCATTGACGTTCAGTGTGTTGTAGCTGGCGCCATGCTGGAGTAAGCTCATGACTATTGCCAGTGATCCCGACTTTGCTGCTGCATAGTGAAGAGGTGTTTCGCCCGTCGTGTGCGTCTTGAGTTCCAGGTTGGGTCCATGTGATAGAAGCAGGTCCATGAGATCGACGCGGCCATTCTTGACTGCAATGTGCAGTGCAGTCTCTCCTCCCTCTCTAGTCGTAGCATTGATGTCCGCGCCCGCACCGAGGAGAATCTTTACAATCTCAACATATCCATTTGCAACAGCAATGCACAGTGGTGGTTGCCCAATATCAGTGACGTCGTCCGGCGACGCGCCAGCTCGAAGAAAGTGCGAGAGGGCAGCCTCGCGCTGATGATACACCGAGTAGAAAATGGGCGTCCACTCCTTGGATGGTCTGAAATCCCCCAGCTTCTCCGGTGTCTCTCCAGACTTTCCAAATCTACATCTCAAAACCTCGACTGATGTTTGCAACGCCGAGCCCTTGCGTCTCAGTGTAGACGGGCCCTTGGTGCTCTTCTCAATGTCCATGTCAATTTGACGCAACATTGAAGGTTCCGAGTCACTCGACTCGCCCGAGTAGACACCGGTACTGCGTGAATTAGTCGACATGTTTCCGAGTAGACATAAGGGGGGGGGGGGGTCCTAAGGAGTGGGACCAGTGGGAGTCGGAGGGGGAGCTGGTAGGGATTGGAAGGGGAATGGGCATACAATATAGTCTAGGAAGCGGAAGAAGCGGGGTGGCAGAAGCAGAGAAAGGCACGCTTGCATCAGCCGCAAGCAAAAGTCACCCTCAGCTTGACGGGAGATTGACATGTACATACGTTTCACCGGCGTCTCCTCTCGGCCGCCCGATCGGGACAGCAGAACTGAGTGGCGCTACACACGAATCAAGAGCATTCTCGTGCCCCGACCAGGCTGCCCACCAGCAAGTGGTGCGACCGACTTACCAATCCCAACTCACTTTTTTGTGCCTCAAGCTAATTGCGCTCTAGTCGCTGGCCGAAAGCGGCGTCGCTGCCAGCGCAGTTCGATAGCGCACGACTCGCTGCCCCGTTCGCGAATGGGACGTCGACACCTCTCGCCACAAAGTACCCCCTGCGTCACTATTTCGCCAATCCGCCCCAGAAGAAACTTGATTAAGCACTTGTATACAAAACATGGCCGGCGAGCGAGCTCCCCCCGCTCGCAAGAAAAAAGAAAAAGAAAAGAAGACGTGATGTACAACTGTTATGGCGGCACAGCGGAGCGCTCCTTGCATCTTCACAACGCGCCTGTAGTAGCGTCTTTGCAAAAAAAAGGTTCATCAACATAATTCCCCTTCTTCGTCGTCGTCCTCCAGACCATCTCCTGGCTCTTCCCGAAACCCACTCCATGACCATGTCCACCTGCGAACCTAACCTCGTACCAAGAAAGAAACAAGCAAAAAAGGGCATGGGGAGGAGAAAACAAACATCAAAGAAAAAAAACGCGGGTTCGGATGTGCCACCCCCACCCTCAAGTGATCATCACGCCCTGAACACTTTCATGTGCATCCTACATTACTTTCCCCAACCTTCTTGTCAAAAAAAAGACGCACATTACGCAAGAATTCCATTTTATTCAGAAAAGAAGCCCATGCTGC